CAGCGGCTAGTATGAGAGATTGGGTGCAAGAACATAACTGGTCTTCTCTCGATTATGTCAAGTCGGGTGGGACTTCTGGCCATTTGTATGGCCAAAAGGCTGGTGACTTCCTAGAGGACCGTATGTGTCTATTCGAGGAGCGTTATGTTGTTTTCTTCGGTCCTTATCACTTCTCGTCTGGTCGTTCGCAGACTTGGACTGGCCAGGTTTGATAACCGCAGGTGACGTACGAGGTTGGCGGTCACTGAGCGCAGAGTGGACGCGGCCTGCTAACGTAGGTGCTTCAAGGTTGTCAGCTGATAGAGTTGCAACGAGACTAAGCCCTACTGTGGTGCGACAGTTTGCGTACCTCTGACTCATTGAGCTATATTGGGTGGTGCCCCTGGGCCCCTTGTGAGCTAACCCTACCAGGTAGGTCAATGGTTAGAGGTCAGAAAAACGTACTCTCCTGGCCCTCCAGATTGGGGGTTTGAAATGGGACGGCGTCCATTTCTGTAAGACTATATCACTGCCACCTCCCCGCTGTCTTGTGGACAAGCTTTACAGCCAGTAGCTTCGGTTCAGGACCCTAATCCCCCTCCTATCTAGGTCTGGGAATCCGGACAGTATCTCAGCCCACATACAACTATGACCATTTCCCCAAACGTTAAGTACGTCCTGCATCAGTCATCGCGCTGCACATCAAGTGTGGCCTTAGCGGCTGCGTACAGCAGGGTGGATAAGCGAAAGCACGCTACTGTTGGCGCCTCCCCTCTTGCTTTTCCACCTGTTCCTCTTACTCTCCCCAACCCCATTACTAACCTTTATTCTATAGTTCCCAGCTTTATTGACGGCAGACATAATGCCACTAGAGTTGAACCATCTGCAGCTACCTTCCTGCACCACCCGCTGCATGCCTGTCGGCAACAGTCCTTTATACGTCCAAGCTGTCCAATCTCCCTGGCGGCGTTCAACGTTCGCACTCTAGGACAATTAAGTCAACAGGCTGTATTCGCACCCACGTTAGACACGCTGGGTATTGACTTGGGTAGTGCATCCGAAACTAGGATCATTGATTCTCAATAAGTTGTTGAATTAACTGCACCCGGCTTATCCTCTCGCTATTGGTGGCACGCACCCGAAGACACAGCTACGGCAACATCTGGTCAAGCTGGGATAAGTATCGTATTCAGCTCCAACGCTGAGTCATGGTTGGTTGATTGGATTTTGGTGAACAGCCGTTTGTGTACAGCTCGTTTGACGAGATCAACTAAGGTTGATTCACCAACAGATACAAGACGTTGTTTGATTGTGGTTTCTGGCTACGCTGCCACCGACAGCAGTTCTGATGTTGCTAAGGCCACATTCTACCAAGAAATCAACACGCTAATACGCGGTGTTACCAGATCAGAGATGATAATAATTGTAGGGGATATGAATGAATATGAATTAGGTCGCCTGCGCCCTTCAGTAGCTCAGTTTGGTGGCAAATATGGGCTCAACTCCGACCGGACGGACAAAGGTGAGCGTATGCTGCAACAGTGTACGGAGCATCAGCTGTTTTTAAGTAGCACGGCTTTCAGACACAGTGAGCACCGAAGTGCCACTTGGCGTCCTCTTGTAGCTGGCCAGCGATGGATCCAAAATGATTAAATTGCCATAAGTTACAGGTAACGTGGTTCCAACCTGGATCAGCGCTTGTTCTGGAGTAGTTGCGTTGACTCTAATCATGCACTGGCATGTCGGCGCATTTCCATGAACTTTATGAGGAGGCGCACCAAGCGTCTCCCCAGATTGGCACTGCGTAGCGAACTTTCGTTCCCTTGTCCTAGTGACAATGAGGTTCAGTGAAATAGGATCTCAATCGTCATACACAACACAGGAGCATTTGATTGTGGTACTATCAATCGTCACCCTGCCAGTCACTGGATATCCGAGACGTCGGTAAATCTGTTGAAATACAGAAGAAAACTCCCCGCTGGCTCTGAACACAACGTGACCAGACGGGCTATTAGAAGCGAATTAAATCGCAGCCTGAGGGCTGCCGAGGAAGCCTGGTGGATCAGTCGGGCTCAAGAAATGGAGGAGGCGTGAGCACTAGGCAATTACTGCTAGGTTTTCATGTGATCCGCAACACTGGTCCCAGAAAACCAGGCGTCAATGAGACAATCAGAGACAGCGCTGGTACTCTGATACACAATAAGGAGTACCGTTTGGTTCGTTGGGCTGAACACTTTAAAAATCAGTTCATTTGGCCCCCTACTTGCGAATCTCTTCCTTCTCAGGTGATGCAGGGTGAACCATGAACGGTTATGTTAGAGCTCCCGGCAGAGGCTGAGGTCCAAAACGCGATCACAGCCCTTAATCGTTTTCGTGCTGCTAGCCTGGATTCCCTACCACCTGCGCTATTTAAGGGTGGAGGTGAAGTCCTCTGCAAACCGATGACCTCACTCTTCGAACATGTATGGAAGGACGAAACCGTCCCGGCCAACTGGCGTGAATTGATTCTAGTGGTAAGGTACAAGAAGGGCAGTCGCACCGACTGTTCTAACCGGAGAGGCATTAGCCTAACGCCCGCAATGACAAAATCACTGGCGTTGATTACCGTTCGTCACCTCACTGCGGGAACGGAAATCCTGGATTAGGGAAGAGCAAGCAAGCTTCCTCCCAGAGCGTGGTTGTATAGACCATATATTTACTTTGCGCTTGGTGCTAAAACAACGCCACGCATACCGCAGGTCGACAGTAGCTGTGTTCCTCGATTTCAAGAGTGAATTCGATTCAGTCCATCGCTCGATTCTGTTCGAAATACTTGCACGGAAAGGTGAACATTTTACGTCCTCAGTACTCAAACACTACAGGCCGAGTCACGGTCTACGGTGACCTGACGGATAGCTTTCCGACAAGAAGCGGCATTCGTCAGGGTCGTCCATGTTCCCCATTTTTGTTCAATTTCGTCGTGAACTGCATCATGGAGTGTTCCTTTGCGGCTTTTCACTATGTAGGCGTTGAGGTGCTGCCTGCTGAAAGGTTAGTTGATCATGATTATGCGGGCGATATTGTCTTGATTTTTAACGATTTTGGGGTGGCTCAATCAACCCTGAATAGCCTGTCTAGAGTGGTAGCATCATTTGACATGCGCTTCACTCCTTCAAAGTTCAAAGTGTTGCTGCAGGGCCACCAGCCACTTGATGATCCCTTGATCCTAGATAGCGAGGAACTCGAAGTGGTTGATCAATTCGCTTATCCTGGCAGCTGCATCTGCAATTGTGGGCGTATAGAAACTGACGACAGCTCACGCATTGCAAAGGCCAGAGCTGCCTTCTTGAACCTGCGGCATCTTTGGTTACAGAAGGGTTACCCTCCGTCTGAAAGGCCGTCTATACAAGGCAACAGTGAGAGCTGTCCTGCTCTATGGTAGTGAGACTTGGCCCCTTCGATCTGAAGATCTGAGGCGCCTTCAACTCTTCGATCATCGTTGTCTGCGGAGTATTGCTGGTGTCGGATGGCACCAGCGTGCCCGCAACGATGATGTGCGTAGGCGAGTACTAGGCAGTGATACTCAAGGTAATTCCTTGGAACAACAGTTAGCAATGAATAAGTTGCATTGGCTTGGGCACGTACGACTCATGCCCGGTCACCACTTCCCGAGAAGGGCATTGTTTAGTGTGCCAGATGTAGGACGGTGCAGGGCTCGAGGTGAACAGAAGTTGACTTGGCAGCGACAAATGAAGTCACTGACTACCAAACTGGGTGCCGTTGGTACGTCTCGCCTTCCGGGCTGGAGTCCACGTGACCTGCCTTGTGCTTGGCTAGTGACTTTACAGGACATGGCTCGCAGTTGGCACCAGTAGCGCTTCTGATGCCGTCTCCTAGTCGGACTGCCTGCTTAAGTGTGATTGTTGATGAGTTAGCTGTAGGGTAATGGCTGATTATGACGCTGGGAAGTGAAAGCCGCAAGGAAGATGTCTAGCCGATGCCGCCTTTGCACGATAGCCAGGTATCTGTGATAGTATGTTGTTGACAAGGTGCAGGTGCCATGACCCTGAATGTTTACTTAGGTCATTAAGATTTTACGCTACGTCCCACTTTTCTCCCTCTTATTATTCTTCCTTCCGTAGGCCGTTGCGCTTGTATCGCAGCAAAGCATCAGTTCAAATGGCTAATCTACAGCTGTTGATGATGAAGATGCTGATGCTGATGATGGTAACAATGAGTTGATAGAGTGCGGCTGCAAAGGATGTGTTTGCACAATAGCTGAGGTGATCACACTTAATTGCGTTTGATGCTCCACAAGTATCAGGTGTGAAAGATAGCAAATCTCCTTTCGCTTCCGGTAGACAGTGAAATTGTTACGAAGCCACATCAGCGTTACACAGGTGGCCGCTTTTTGCGATCCACCATGTCACTGTGTGTATAGTTGCATAAGATTATAAAAAAGCACAAGTCACATGAACAGGTAATTTCGGTGCTTTAATCATCCGAAGTGTCACAGCTGTTTTAGGGAGATACCAATAGAACCAAGCGACCGTTTGCGATCATCAAAACTTATAGTGCATCGCCCAGCACTGAGATAGTAGCTTATACTTTAAACGGGACTCCTGCATCTTATAACTTGCAACATTGAACTAGCTTATCCAGCAGCGGTGTTTGCACGGAGAATCGGTTCAGTCGCCGCGTCACTGGTCACCTGTATACGGCTCCGGTACCAGGTAACGAAATGCACTGGCATTCCGACCAAAGCAGCTGCAACGTTCATTGGTCGAACGTTGAACTGTGCATAATCAATGATCCGGAAACCAGAACAAGTTTGGATCGCAATGTCTACGGTAATGTCACAGTATTTGCAGTTTGGAAAAATGGGTAAACCTCAGTCATTCCGGATCCCGATAATCAAGATCAATAAATGATGCAATGATGCACTAAAAGTGCTGTCAAAACCACTGCTCCAAGCAAATAACCAGAGGGCCACGTGACAAAAAGGTGAACTTATCGACAATCACATTAGCCAATCCTTGACCGTCCAATGATAAAGTGTGGAAAGGGCTGGAGTTGAACGTAACGCACACACATACAAGACAGTTGAATGTCAAATGCATGACTTGTGCATTGCTCATAGAAAGTAGTAACAGTGTTACGACACCATGGATAGCAACATCAGATCAAATGCATTGGGGGGAAGTTAAAATCGACAAAATAATGTGAGATCATCGTTAGAAGTGTAGAGGGAGTGAAGGCATCAATAAGTGGTGAATCACTGGACAAAGGTGTGGGTGTATAGAACAGCTAGCAATGTAAGCACGCAGGGTTTATGATAGGATGACCCAACATCCGGGATTCATGAGGACGCGGATCAGTGTACGAGCGGTCCTGGCAGCGAGGAAGAAAGATTATTGAGTGAAATAAAAACTGCGGTCGGAGTGATAAGCGAGGGTACATTTCAGAGGGATTTTCCAAGCAATGCAAGACTCCACTGCATCGGCAATGCGAAAAGACAGCCCAGAAGAACAACAAGCCACTGGAGTAGGGAAAGTTTTGCAGACAAATGTCCCCCGGAATCAACATCAGCACCATAACATCAGGCGCTTGAACTGATGCTTCGCTGCCGTGCGACCACCATGATCTGGGGAATGGAGAACAATACGAATGTTGGAGGGGGACATAGTATAAAACTTAAGTGACCTCCACAAGCATTCAGGATCAAAGTGCCCACACTTTGTCAATATCACATGACTGTATCACATGCTTGGCTGAGATTAAACGTTTAGTTTTCCTTCTTGCGGCGACGTAACCCTTAGATGGGAGCAGTTTCAGTCTTATGGAAACTCATGTTGGATTACTCGACACATTGTCGCGCTGGGAGTGTACAATCATTTCATTATGCCAGTTGAGTTCATGCAGGCACGAAGCTTCATAAGTATTTCGTTCATTTTGTCATGGTTCCGGGTCAGCTAATGAGGACACTAAAGTCATTCTTCCTCACTCGACCAGGAAGCGTTCCACCCGTTAAAAGTTTCGTGCAGAATGCCCCACCAACGGTTAGGTTTTACTTCTCATGCAAATGCTATACCCGTGCAGCATAGTTGTTCAAAATCCAATCCAATGAGACAGATGGCCAGGATACGTATCCTAAATTCTGCGCATTTGAAAAACTATCGACAATAATTCTGCGTGGACAAGCTTCAGCTATGAGTTACGGAAGATAAGTAATATTCATAATTGATTTCGATCGTACAAATAATGAAAAGATCTACTCATTAGCGGTTTTCATTTAACCAAAAGGTGAAGTACGTCGTTGAGGTAGTTGATATTGCTTAGTTTTAACAAGCTCTGGTATGCGTGATGCGGTTTCGCATAATGCACATCGTAAGTTGTGCTCTAAGTCCATTCGCTTTCTTGCTTTGGTGTGTGATCCCTGAGCAAACAGAAAAGATGACAGTGGTATCTCAGTTGTTGCGAGCAATTTCCATGTACTTCCTAGATGACAGCTTCCCACCATAAGTTTGTATCGATGTGTCCTAAACACTAATCGCTTGTTTTGTTTCCTCTACCTGCTAAACTTACGCTCGCACTTTCACTTTATAGGCTGACCTATGCTCCCACCTTAGTGTTCACTTAACTCTGCAATTCGACCCGGCGAACAACTGGCGGACACAAAAGTAAACGATCGACGAGCGAATCGATGCAGGCGCCATCTCGTTGCGATGCTCTGCAGGGTTGCATTCGTATTTAGGCAATAAAATTCATTAGCGAAAATTGTCCAATTCACTTACTAATAATTGGTCGCTGATAACTGATCAATAGTGATTAGGTGCTTAGTTACATCCTTTGATCCGGATGATTTTGGTATTAATTTTGTTTGGCAACAGTTTTATGTCGCAGTCCTCGTACTAATATTCATCCGCAGGTTGAGAACCACTGTGCAAGAATAATTCCTAGCAATAATAATGTGAAGGCAAACCCCCTGCGTTAATTTTAACGAACATAAGATGGGCCAGAAATAGGAGCTTCTAGTTGTTGCTGTTGACATGAATGCGCAGAGAGATAAATTATCGAAGCCGATTCATTGTCAAAGAAGCAGTTTCGGGTCTACACTTGTGTTACTGTGAATGTCGAAAGAACAACAGAGCCTTATTCGCCTACGTTCTCATCGCGTTATCCAGAATCTGGTGAAAAGAAGAATCAAACTGGCTACAGTGCTACCATCTGTAGATGACACAACATAACCCGAGCTTGACGGTCTTTCCGGATTAGGTTCCATGACGAAGTTTAGATCCACGTATACGTCATGTGATACCATGCCTCAAATCGCGAAGGAGTACCCAAGTTACAAGTAAAAATTGACCAGAAATGTTAGTAGCTCTGGTGGAAAATTCAGTTATTGGAGTGTAAACTCGGCGAACGTATCAAGGACTAAGTTGGAAGCTACCGAAGTTTAGTTTGAACAACCTGTCTACAGAGCAGGTTTTATCTGATAAAACTGCAGCCAACTCTTCTTTGAAATCATCCGCAGTGGAACATGAAAAGGTCGCCAAAGCACTTATCCACCCATTATAAGCTATTATAAACTTACTGTTCTGTATTTGAGTCCTAGGCGCACCTAGCCATCTCATACTACGCTAATCGTAGCCGTACTAGAATCCGTAGACCCCAACAAGCTGTGCACTTATTGCAAATGACTGCTAATTCAATAAAAATGAATGCCCCTTGAGTAGAAAAAAGAAAAAAAACCAGAAAACCGCATCCAAACACGTTGCTAATACGTCCAAGATCCTGCTTCATATGCTCTAACGCATTGACCTCCTCGATGAAGAAATAAATTTATTGCAAAGCAAATGCAGTGAATTTAGCAATAACTACGACCAAATTTTATCATTCTGTGAACTAATAAAAGTCTCAGCTAACGTTAATTTGGAGAGACTATGTGTACAGCCGGCTCATTCATATCACTTATCACTCTGAAATCCAGGAGTGCGTGCGCAGATGAAAAAAGTGTGCTTATATTCAATCTACTTGATAGACTGAGTATTGAAATAAGTAAAACAGCTTTCCTCACCGCCTGCAACATGGATCGGTTTAACTGCGTGTGAATATAACTTCAGAAAAATGCAACAATGAAGTCGCGTCCGGTTTTATTGAAGTTATCTGATGAATCAACTGCTGCTACTTTCTGAGATTCAAACGGCTGATTACTGCAAGAACGGAATTCAAATATGCTATAGTGAGGTAAGACCAAACACCGCTAGAATGATGTCTAGCTCTTAAAGTAAAGCCTCCAAGTGTGTTAACTCAATATTCACCAAGTCACCGAGTGGACAGTGAAGTAGACCTTGACAGAATACCGTTAGTATCCCTGAGAGATCCTCCACGTACTAAAACCTTTACCCTTGCCGCTCAAACACTGAACAGCAGTACACCTACCAAATCGCCGAATAAAATGGAACAACTCCAGGAATTAAATGTCACTAAGATAGCAGCCGAAACCAACCCTATCTCGGCTGCTCCACCTACGAGTAACATGTGCATAAAAGATGATGCGTGTATCAAACTTGAATCCCCTTCACAGCAGAACCACAGAGCAAAATGCTCAATTAGGGCTTTGAGAAACAAAGAAACGCACCACAGTCAATTTAAAGATAAATGTACCACCTCCAATCAAAGAGATCACTATAAATCATGGAATGGCTCTCCATCAACATGACATGATAACATCCAAGGCCCAACGTCTCTGTCACAACATATTCCAGAGCGTCGGGATGACTCTCTAGATCATTCCCGAAGTAAACGATTTCGTGAGTCAACTAGTGACACGAAACCTGGCTGTAGGATCAATGGTAGGAACTCGGCTGAACACCTTCACATCTCACAGCTGTCTCCGAACAAAAACTGGCAGCACATTAACACAAGTGGAACTGCATCCAGTGACCGAAATTCGGAAATTCCTAGGGCATTGCCTAGTCCGCAAAATAACATCCCTCAGCTGCTCACAAAACAATTAGTCGATGCCCCGCAGCTAATCTCTGTCATGGAAATCGCTCAAAATTCTTTTTTAGGACACCATATCCCCAACATTAACCCAATCACTGGGATTTCCAGCACTAGGCCCCATAAATTAACAGATGATCTCTGTACTAGAACATCTTCGTTAGTCAATATAACATAGAGATCTCCAAATCACGAATGTCTCATTGTGGCACACCAACAATAACAATAATAAAAAACAGTCCCTCATTACCCTGGCTGCAGCACCTATTTCCGTATATGCTCTAGATTCATCTGTTATAAACATTCGATACCTACTACCTAAATAGCATCTGCTTATATATTTTGTCTGTCTTAAAACACCCCATATTTTTCACCACTGAAACGGTGCAAAGACATAGGTGACTCTCAGTTCCAAGTTACTGGCTACTAGCTGTTCCGAAAAGATAATCTGAACAAAAGAGGAGGATGATGCGTTATCTACATTCGTACTGATATCACAGTGATGTCTGTTGATCTTCTGACCCTCAGTGACTTAGAAGATTCGTTGTGGTTAGCAATCCCTTCCGGTGACATACTACTGGGTACATCTATAGACCTCCTAACGCTATCAGACACCATAGTGAACAACTAGCTGATGCTATCAAACCTGCCTTAAATATTTCCTAGAAACATAAGTTTGTATTTGGAGATTTCAACTTACCGCATATTGACTGGACGATACCCACACTTAAAGTGTCAGGAAGCCTCATGGGAATAATCCATAGCATTCAGATCAATGGTTGGACTCAACAAGTTAATCAAACTACAGGAAGAGCCAGCACATTAGATCTGATACTTACCATGAGCATTCTGTCAGTGCTCGTCACTACTGACAGCCCAACAATGGGATGCAACCACAATAGTGTGCTATGCAGCGTGAATATTAAAATAGCGAACAAACTACGAGTGACTAATAAACCTACTCGTTGCACCCTTCTCTTTGACTGGATAATATTTGACAATTTCCTCAGTACCCTGAGTTGGGACGAATTCTTCTGAACACAGGATCCAACCTTAGCCACGAACGAATTTATAAACAATCTTAACACATGTACTGACCTAGTCGCAACCACACTGTGGAAAAAGCCCTTAACAGTAGTAACCAATGCAAGCCTTGTTTCAAAATTATCACAAAATTGAAGAAACACAAGTCCCAATATCGTAAAAACAATAACTTAACATTACTGCTAATTCATGAGATTCTACTGAAACTAAAACATCAGGCATTACAAGCGGAAATCACCGAAGAAAACAAATCGCTAAAAATCCACAAAAGACACAAAGCTTGGTGAAACTACTCAACAGGAGGAATACAAAGCCGAACCATCATATCCAGTCTAAAATTAGATGTCTCAGCAACTGATGAGATTAGCCAAATGTGTGAAGTATTGAACTCTTACTATGCGGCCTCATTCAATACAGATATCAGTATGTCCCATCATCTTCTAAACCGGAAGACAGATAAAGAGATCTCGAGTATTCCTGTGAGCCTGAGTGATGTTCAAATGAGTATGCTCTCCATGAAACCGTGTTTTCATTCAGGAACCGATGGTATTCCTCATGCTGTCATCACGTATGGAGGCAAAAATATTCCTCTGC